GAGAGGCTCTTTTATATTTTATCGCAAATGTGGGAATTGTGTTTTTGTACATGAAAATTCGGGTCTGGTTAACAGTTGTACTAAAATCATGTGACCGCCATTTTATTCCTCAGGGTCTTTGCTTTCAGAACATATATTTTGGGGGTTTTAGGTAGTCTTCGAGCCTAAAGTGTGCATTTTATCATGTGGAAAAAAAATTTAAGAAATAAAAAAAGACTCAAACAGCAAAAGGGTTAAATACACCCCTCTGATTCAGGGTGGTGGATGTCAGTTGATTTATGTATGCACATCAAGCAGAGTGTGGCTCAATGTGTCCTGATAATCTACAGTGTTTTATTGGATTCTTTATTCATGAATCCCTTGAAAATTGCTATCAATTTCTCTGGAATAGATTATCTTGCACTATGGTAATAAAGTAATAGGGCAAACTGCTGGCAGATTGGAGCAAAGGTTTCCGTCATCCTGTCCATGAACTGCTCCGGTATGCATTTCTACCTTAATCAATGATACCAATCTATGCAGATAATATCTGGAAACATACAGCCGTGCAATCGTTCCTGCAAAATTGCAGACATAACTTCTCCCGTTGCCGTCGCCTTTTCTAACAGCTAATGGGTTTATATAATTCACAAGTGACAGAAAGGTATGAACCGAATTGCGCAAAATATATCATTATATCTGCAGGTGCAGACAGTGTTAAATGTAACATATTTGGGGAGTTCGGGATGCTTTGCATGTATGGCTCATACCATATTTTAAATACAATGCAATAATGTACCAGAATTTCCACACTGTGAAAAATAAATTAGGTAACTCAAAGCTATACAATGGTGCCGCTATAGATCTATGGCCCCCGATGCAAAATTTGAAGGGTCCTTAACTCTTTGCTGCCAAGAAATGCTGTTTACTATAATGCAGAGAATGCCAGCTAGGTGACACAAGATCACATGACCAAGAACAAGGGACTCCTAGGAAAGAATCCCAGTGCCGTTCACCAACTGCTCATGTCTCCTTGTTCAATCCTGTAGTGCAGTAGGTTTATTTCTGGGCAGCAACGGAGGGAGGGGGATGGGGGTCATGTACTGCCCCATCCCCTCAAACTGGGACATGTCTTCACCGGCTGTATTCCCTGTTGGCCCCAAATATAATGAAATAATTAAGCACCAAGGTCTTTCTGTTGTTAGGCTGTTCCTCGCTGCAGTGCCCATATCTGCCCCACAACACGCCTGTCCAACAATATGAGATGTTGCAAAATCATTAAAGGGTATTGTGAGATTTAGCTTCAAATGGTAGCGCATTAAGAACAGAGTCCACTCGCAAACATATTCTTTTTAGGGCTTCCTGACCACTTTTATTTAAAAGTTCACACAAGTTTTCAATCACAGGGGTTTCTCCAACATAAGAACATAACTTTAGCTTTGTTTTGAAGCAAAATAACGTTTTTCAAAGTCTCACCGACTTCAGGTTATTACTATAAACCTCTCCCCTTACAGGCTGTATCCAGCAGACTTGCTTCACAGGCTGTATCCAGCAGACTTGCCACACAGGCTGTATCCAGCAGACTTGCCACACAGGCTGTATCCAGCAGACTTGCCACACAGGCTGTATCCAGCAGACTTGCCACACAGGCTGTATCCAGCAGACTTGCCACACAGGCTGTATCCAGCAGACTTGCCACACAGGCTGTATCCAGGATGGAGTCCTCCTGACTCCTGGATAGACACCTCCCCTGTCTTCCAGCTGGGACCCTGAATATGAACCAGCATCCTTTTCATGAGGGCTATGCACAGGTGCACAATCATTCGGTGCTGGTCACCACTAAAGCCCAGACATGGAGATTTCATGCCTCCCAGTTCTCTTAGAAATCTCCCAGTTCCAGGATCCCAGTTATAACTTAGAAAACCCGGAAAGAATTGTAAAGCCAGCTCTTTTCTGATAAAAGTACTTGTGTCCTGGAACTGCTCAGCCCCCCTGGCTGAGAGTCTTGGGTGACCATTTTGCCACTCTACACAGTGGCATTGCCACGCACTGCCACAGTATATATGGTCAAAAACAAAAAATGTATATGTATGTCCATATTTACATTTCAATAAGATCTATCCCACTCCTAACTTTATCCATCTAGAAGTCTGCAAACTTAGGGTTAGGGTTGAGGATGCCCATAGGATGTACTCCCTCAATGCACTGACAATTTTACTTCTAGGTTCAAAGCTGTCAGTCTCCAGCCAATCTGAACTCGATTACTTCAGCAGAGTGCAGAGTTAACATCAGGGGTCTAATAGACCCCTGATGTCGCCTTAAAGAAAGCCTGTCACTTACAATTTGCTATTCCATAGAGAGCTTATCAGCTTGTGATAGCAATAAACTTAAGTAAAAAAACACATTGAAATATGAAAACCACAATTCACTACCACCACAAAAAAAATAAAACGCTAAACATACCAGACTGAAAGCAATAATTCCAGGGCCATTATTCACTGTTAATTCTAAAGTGATGAGCTGTGAAGGATTTTTAAGCATTACCCATGGACAACTCTGGGTGCCTTAGTTACGCAAAACTTACTTGTAAACTTACTTATTGAAGATGCCCATAGGATGTATTTCCTCAATGCACTGACACAGTTTTACTCAGCCCCATGATTAAGCATTTCCTTCTGTCACAACTGACACAGAGTTTGTCTCCTCAACTACAACTCAATGTCTGAGGAATGTGACATTATCATTGTTTGCTGAAAGCAATGCATGATGGGAGATGTAGTCTTCAGAAATGGAGACTGCCTCACATCAAGCAGGGAAAGAGACACAAACCACTGGAATCCAGGAAGTTGGTGAAAGTGATGGGCAGATGGAAGTCAGCGCTCACTACATAAAATTGATTTTTTAAAGTAATCTTTGATTGTATCATCAAAAACAACTGGAGTATGTATTCCTATTACACTGCTGATGCTATAACAGGACAGTATCTGCTGTGAATTTAGAATGTCTTTAATAAATTAGTAGTCTCAAAAAGAACCATCATAAAAAGGAACCATTCTGATGAAAAAGCCGACCCGTGAGCCCGTACAGCCGACCTGTGAGCCCATACAGCCGACCCGTGAGCCCGTACAGCCGACCCGTGAGCCCGTACAGCCTACCTGTGAGCCCGTACAGCCCACTTGAGACCCCGGACAGCCCTCCTGAGACCCAGGAGATATCAGGACGCCACCCCGGAGAAGCAAAGCGTAGGTAGCTTCATATTATTCTGCATTGCTTTATAACGTACAGCCTACCTGTGAGACCGTACAGCCTACCCGTGAGCCCGTACAGCCTACCATTGAGCCCGTACAGCTGACCCTTGAGCCCCTACAGCCTACCGGTGAGCCCGTACAGCCTACCCGTGAGCCTGTACAGCCCACTTGAGACCCAGGAGACATCAGGACGCCACCCCGGAGAAGCAAAGCGTAGGTAGCTTCATATTATTCTGCATTGCTTTATAACGTATTGCTGGAATTTGTAGTCCCCTATAGCTGGTGCCATCCTGCTTTGCTTTATAATGTATTGCTGAGATTTGTAGTCCTCTATAGCTGATGGTACTCTGCATTTCTGTATAATGTATTGCTGGGCTTTGTAGTCTTCTATAGCTGGTGGTACTCTGCATCGCTATACAATGTATTACTGGGATTGTAATCTCTTTACAGCTTGGAGTGAGTGGCAGAACTACCAGGGCAGCAGCGGCGGCGGCAGCTGTGACCGGGCACCTGGCACTCCACTACTGTCCTAAAATCAGTAGTCTGTATTATTTTTTAAAAACTGTCACATGACACTAAAAAAAAAAAGGTATATGTAATTGGTGTCAGTGAGTACTTGAGGAAAAGTATCAGTACTCATACTCCCTCTGGAAAAAAAATAGTAATTGTGCATCCCTAATTTTAAAGCTCTTTTGCCTCTTGTTAAGACTATGTAAATAGCTTAATGTCCATAATCAAGGGCACAGGCGCAGTTTTGATTCTAGAATCCACACTAATGTAATGATCTAATGTAGAAAGAGATATTAACAAGAAAAATTAGACTATACATTACCTTTACTAAACTTCAGGTTGAGGGGTAAAGCGTAGCGTTATGGTGCTACGATAATTTCCATATGAGCCCCATTTCCAGTAATCAGACCTTGCCACAACACAATCTCAGGCTCAGCTGATTTACCGTAAGCTTCTATGAGATGATAACTCTGACACAATGACATTGTCTACAGGAGAACCTGAGGGAAATACTCTATATAGAATATTTGTAATCACTGGTCACTGGAATGGGTTTACAGAGGTAAGCAATATTTAAAAATTCATCCTTAGCCAACCCCTTCCCAGACTGAAAAGATAACTAAAGCCAAACCTCTTTTTTGGCTTTATTCCTCTTTTGGGTCAAAGAAGTATATTTACTAATGTATTCCTGTGACACAAACTATTGCTCGCTATATGCTGACAGCACAGAGCCGTGCTGCAGCCTGGAAAGATCCCGCAAATATTGTATGGATCCACCCTGCTGCCTGATTGACAGCTGACTCTCCCTCTCTAGATCCAGCTGTGCCCGCCCCTTCCCCTGTCTGTCCCTCCAATGAGTCCTGGAGGAAAGGAGAGGGGGGGAATCCCTGCAGGGAGCGATGACTGACAGCCTCTGCTCACACAATTGCTCAGTTCTCGATCTATAGAGTCGGCATGTGAAACCTGCAGTATTACACGCCGGCTCTAAGCTTTGGCAAGAGTACATTTTACTCTCACAATACTTCTCCTTTAAACTATAAGTAATTTTGTTGGTATTAGATGGTTTTACTTTTGAACAAGACACGTCACTTGTCAAAGGCTTATGAAAGGACAACTCTGCATTCACTATGACAACCAATCATCTCCTTCCGTATATTTTCCAACATGGACAAGAAAGTTTGGAAATGGAATTTCCCATTAAAACACAACTTAGGTTTTCAGTAGAAATTCACAAAAATCTTCTGTGTACAGTACATTACTTACCTACTGTTCTTGTGAGAAGCTGCTGTGAAGGAAACTTCTTCAAGATCTGAATCATTGTCTTCAATTTCCTGGAAAGAAAAAAAAAAGATATTAATATTTGGGCAGGAAGTGACGGGATTGTTATCAAGCTGACACACGGATTGAAACGAGTCAATTGATAATTGTCAGGTTATTACTACTGCCCTTGTCTTCCCGTCCCAGTGGCAGCCGCTCTCCTGATTTATTGTCTAGATGTCACAGGGACAGGAAGTGAGGTCACAGATCCCCAACGCAGTAATGCACAGCAACAAAAAGAATGTTCCCCCTCCCAGGTCTATCCCAAAGTAAACAGAGTCGTTCGGCTGGAGTTGGGATTTAGCTATTAAGTAGGAAGCATGTATTTGGTGGTTTTTTTTTTTAGTTTTGAAGAAAGTGGGGATGTGTTAGACGCTCAGTCAAGTTTTTATTGCAGTCTGTGCTTCTAATATAATCACATCTGTTTGTTTAGGTGTAATTAGGGATTCCTGTGCACACCGCATGTATTGGTATGTGATATGATTACATGTGGTTAGTAATCATTCTCATAGTGATTGATTCCTAACCACATGTAATCATAAAAAAAAACATTACATGAAGTGTGCAGGCGTTTACATGCAGCGGCTCTCACCTGGTCAGTAACTTGAATGGGTGACAGCTGCCTCATGTAAACACCACATTAGGGATTCCTGCTGCAGGAAAACGCAAGTTCCTGATGCAGAAATCCCTAATCGCACCTAAACTTACAGGTGTGAATGGGGCTTTATTGTGTGTATATTAGTGTTTGTAATTCTGGTTGTGGGGGGTTGTGCATATTTCTATGTGTGCGCACCCCTGTGTGTGTGAAGTATGAAATTTGGCAAGCGGCCCTCATGGGAGAAAAAATGCGTCCAGTGGCCCCCAAGTGAATTGCGTTTGAGACCCCTCATTTAGAGGCACCGGCAGCCGGGGGCAGTTCTCAACAATCTCAGCATTACAGTTGCGTCAGATACAGGGGATGCATACATTTGGACTACGACGCTGAGTCTGTCGAGAGGTGTAACAGGCTTCCGGTGTTTCTGGGTTGTTTTCCCCCTCTGGTCTCCTGCCCTCACGGGGGATATGTCCATTCTCCTTGAAGGCTTTTTAAAGCCTGAAGAAGAGATCTAAGTCATTCTGAAAGCTGGCACCTTTCATTGTTAGCCAAAAAAAGTGAGTCACCTAAACTCCAATCTTCTTGTTATGACAGTACGAGCTATGAGCTTTAAGTGAATCGATCACTTTGCCCAGTCAAAGAAAAGTGATGAGCCCTTAGATAGCCCACTCTTTCTCCCCATGACATTTACTTTCCCCCTTCTTCCTGCCACTCTATTGGCCTGCTAGAGCTCCGTGGAAATTACACTGAGCTAATAATGATCCTACCACCCATGTGACAGTGTTCAAGCCTGGTGATTGGCTGCTCAGGTGCCGGTCATTGCATAGAGGCAGGAAGAGAAGGTCACATCCTCCTCCATTCCCAGAAGTACCAGGTAATTACATGGACTCTGGCAGTCAAAGAGTGCTGAGGGTACAGGAGGAGTCTTTCCAAGAGAAGGTAGGGAGGTGAGTACATACTGTCTTCAACTGCAGGGGAGTGCTGGTTTTAAATCTTTAGAGCCCTGAAAGGTCTCTTTAAATACATGCAAACACAATCTCTAAAGTCTCCCATAGGCTTTAACATTTTTCAATCTACAATTCAATTTTAAATCTGCAGCTTTCATCAAAATAATATCTGGTGATCCTGACATGAAGGTTTTGTTCAGACACTTATTGTTAAAGGGATTCAACGCTCTGTCCTTGATTCTCAATTGTGCTCCTGCACCGTCACCCTGACATCGGGCTTTCAATGGAGACTACAAGTTGCCAATTCAACACCCATTATGTAGGCATGGTTCACTGTTGTCACCTCTACATCTGTCCTTAGAAATGCCATGCATCCATTATTGGAGTACATGTAGGCAGGAAGTGGCGGCATAGAGGCTGTAGATCATCAGCATTGAGGCACAACAAAGGATAAGAAAAAAAGAGATGCACCAAAATGAAAATTTCAAAACCGAAATTAAAAAAAATGTCAGGCCAAAGCCGAAACTGAAAATGTTTTTTATTTTAACTTTTAAAATTTTTTTTAAACATTTTGTGTTTATTTTTATAAACGTTTTAATTTTTTAATATTTATTTTTTATTAATTATTCATTTTTCTATTAAATATTTTTATTTTTAACTTTACTTTTACGGGCTTTGGGGAAATATTAGACCCCTGATATTTCCCTTTTAAAATAGAAAAAGTGATTGAGGACTCAATCTCTTTTTTTGCAGCCCCTGTTATAAATGAACAGGAATCCTCTATACTGAGTGTTCCAGATCATTCATAACAGAGTATGTTTACTATATCCACAATCATGAATGAGCAGGGGGTGATGTAGATCACTTCCCATTCATTCATAATTGAGGATATAGTCAACATGCTTTGCCCTCAATTATTTACAAACAGTAAGCGATCACTGAGTGCTTGTACTGGCTCTCCTTCCTGACCCGCTGTCACAGGAGGCTGAGCGAGCGGAGCTGAGCCTCCTGTGACAGCGCTAGCTGTCTCCGCCCACACTGCTCTCCTCTGATCTGTGACAGGAGGCTGAGCGGTGCGGGGAGGAGAGACGCCGGCTGCTCACAGCGCTCTCCTCCCGCAGCGTCCGGCCGCCTGTGACCGTTTCTCTCCTCTCCGCTGGGACACAGAGCAGTGCCCAGCAGGGAGGAGAGAAAGAATGGATGCACCGCTGTATCGACCAGAAAATGTCACTTTTGGCACTATGCCAAAAGTGCCATTTTCGGTCAATATGTTTCGGTGCATCCCTACTAAAAAGTATTTTATTCAAAATTATAATACAAAGTGCTTTGGTATACTAAATGTCATCCTAACTACCTCAATGCTTTGCCACATCATGCCCTGGTTGCTAAGATAGAGATTAATGCAAATATGTGCATCTCCCATGTGGTCTTCTATTCACTTAAACCATATCTGCAGTACTAAGAAACTATAACATTAAGCTAATTGCTCTAATGATGTTAAAGAGGAAACCTTCATCTGAGTGCTTATATCATTTCCCCAAAGAAAACATGGCAGTGACCTACCTCTGAATAATTCTTTGCAGGAACATTTCTTGATGTAGACTGTCTTGACGATGAGGCTTTAAAGGCTGCAAATGTAGATTAACATAATAAGCCATTTAGAATAATGCTGCTAGCTCAAAGCCCACTAACCTCCTCATTGTGGAAACATGCACAGACACACACGTTCCTATAGTATAGAATACATTAATTAGAATTATGTACATCTCCTCTATTTAACCAGGAATTGCAATTCCATAAACGGCTTCCATTTGTACACCATATGCTGCTGGATATTAGCATTCTAAGAAATAATCCCAACAAGCATACACAAAATATAGAAAATATAACAAAAATTTATTTTTTACCCCATAAAGATGTTCCAACTTGATATGACGTACCCCTCAACTGTGATTTAGACCACCCCCTTAAAATGACACTAAACTCAGGAGTTGAATCTTAAAAATACATTCAAGTACCCTAATGATTAACAACAATGTATCTTATTTGTGTATCACTCGGCTGTAGATCCTCAAATCATCTCTGAATTGGTGCTGACACTGTCCTTCCTTCTGGAGGGGGGCTAATTTTGTTCCCCATGGTCCCTGTGTGTGTTGTAAAGTAGTCACCGCTCCAAGCTCACTCCCATGATGGACTACAATCTCAATACAAATTAGTAAACTAAACATGAGTTTGCAGTCACTCACTGGAGCGAGCTTGGAGCGGTGACTACTTTACAACACACACAGGGACCATGGAGAACAAAAGTAACCACCCCCCAGAAGGAAGGACAGTGTCAGCGCCAATTCAGAGATGATTTGAGGATCTACAGCCGAGTGATACACAAATAAGATACATTTTTGTTAATAGTTCAGATACTTTGATATATTTTTAAGATTTAACTCCTGAGTTTAGTGTCACTTTAAGTGTTTCCAAAGTGCTCACATTCCCACAATGCACTGCTGGGGGCATGGGCAGCCTATTAATAGGCCTAGGCATTGTCACATGGGTGGGTGTCTATGAACATGCAAATGTTGACTTTGAGGACATTAGCAGGATGGCAGGTGGTACTGGAGGGCATTGAGGCAAAAAGCTGACAGTTTATGCTGTATACCTACAGCTGTTAGTTTATATACAGGGCTAATTTGAAAATAACTCTTTTATACCCGCTCCGGGAAAGGAACAGGTTCACTTTCATTTAGCCCTCCCCAGCAGCATATACTTACCTACATTTCACCTTCCCCCCTCCCCCCATACAGGGCTATGGGATCCCCGTGGGAGAGCTCTGACTGGCCAAAGCTGTCTCAAGGAGCGAGTAACAAGCTCCTCCATACTTAGAAGTATTCATTTTTATACTCGGTGCTGATTGGAGTGGTGGGGAAGGGAAGCAAATGCTAGGGGGTGATTAATGTACACCTGAATGGGCAAAGCACATGTTTGCTTTAAAGGTGACCATAACAAACCATGGGGGCTAGATTTGAAAGGTCCTCCTGTCCGCCATACCTGTCCTCCTTACCTGTTTAGCAAAGTGGACCTATCATTGACTCTATAGGGCATATCTCGGCAGTATTATGAGTCAAAAACCTCGTTTCCCATGAATATAAAATCCTGGCCCTAAGTTCCCTCATGATCTAAAATCTGGGCAGCTTAGATCACATGGCCTCATCAAAATTTGTGCATTGTGAGTGTCATCATCAGAGACTACAGATTTTAGGTTTCAATCAGACATAGCCTGTCTGATAGGCGTGCAGTGAGACAAGCAGAACTGTTGTGAAGCACTATTATGCAGGAAAGAAGGGAATGCATATATAATAAATGGATATGGCTGCTCCCCGTGTATAGATATGATTACAAACTTTACAAGCGAAACAAAGTATATGGACCTATTTATTAAGGGTCACGTTTCACCTTTTTATTATTATTATAATTATTATTCACCAAATATTTACCATTTATCCATTTGAGTGATCTATAAAGGCTGTTGGATTTCACAATACTATCAGTAAATGATAGTAATTTTTGTTGTTGATTTTCTTAGAAGAATCATATAGGCTGCCATTGCTGACCATTCCTTGTGGAAATGCTAGCTGCCTAACTGTCATGCTGATGCTTTCTGGGTTATGGAATTCTCCTTTTCAGCATGTTTGTTACAGATCTGTGGCTTAAAAACAATTGACAAAAGACACAACCTGGAAGCAAGAATTTTTTGGAAGTAGGCCAGCAATGGCAGCCTCTTGTACCATTTCCATGACACAATCACTTCAATGTGATCCTGCACAGGGCAATGTAACAGGTTCACTGTAAAGATGGTCCCTGCAACAACTTTTTCTGACCTTCCTTTCGCTCCCTCACTGTTGATCATCATATTCAAATGGCCGGACTTAAATGTGTGTAGGAACAATTAATTTGAGCGAAAAAGAAATACAACAAGCCCAGAAGATGCCAATTACAAGTACTTTTAATGCCTCATAAACATGACATGTTGCCATGGCAGTGTAATGGATTAATTAGGTAAATAGCATCATGTGAGCACTTGATCTCAGAATGCATTTATGGTCAAAGTGTACCAAGATGTGTTTGGTTTTTTAAATTGCTAATAAGCATACATTGGAGTTGGGTATCTAAACCCAAAACTTACCAATGCTTAGATGTGGTGGCCGCATTAGTTTTCTTTTTTAGCCTTTTTCTCCTTTATTTTCACCTGGTGATCGCACCAGTAAATGTTTTATTTTTTAACTTCCTTTAACAGACCAAGTTGTCCAGCAAAAATGGCAGATGGAGAATTGGGACCAACTATTTAACACGGACAGGAGTGCTTACAATGGTCAACTTTTATTCGTTCCTTATTCCAAAAGGAAAATAAAACTGTTGCATTAACTGCTTATAAAGTGATATCTGGAGTTCGGATCTCATTTTTTAGTCAAGTTCATCTAAATCTGCTAGTCCATCCAAGGCTATCCTCTCCAGAGGGTGACAATGCTGCGGTCCAAGGGTGGCTCCAATGCTCCTACATAGAGTGGAGCCACCCTAAGACAGGAAGTGTGCTACTGGACAGATCACCAGGTGAAAAAAAAAGAAAAAAGAAAGCAAATGCAGCCACCACATTTAAGGATTTGTAAGCTGCAATATATTACATTTTTGGTCTTGGGGTTAGGTATGCTTTGAGTTCATGTACATGCAATAGATTGGTATTTAGGTAATGGTGAAGTATAAAGGTTCCCAGAGGCTTAGCATGATGTGATAAGCATGTTACTAAAGCTCCGTATATCACCATCAGTAAAGCATTTCACTAAGAACTGAATGTATGAAATATCCACACATGAAAAGGTTTTCTTGTGTTGTGTATGGGGCCATTCCTTCTTCTCCAAACTCCTCCTAAAAACAATAAAAGCTTCTGACACCAACCACCTTAAAGTGTATCTACACCCAAGAACAACACTATACAATATTGCACCTTATCAACCCCTCAGATATAATGGCTGCATTCGTTTTTTAGGCTTTTTTATATGTGCCCCAAAAAAAATAATTTGACAAATTTCTCCATTTACTTTAGCAGTGTGGATTAACGAATCTCCCGCTGTGTACATTGTGGCTATGTTCATACGATGTCTGGACCAGATCTGCAAATGCAGTGCAATGTGTTGCCGTGTTCCGGTGCATTTTTAAGTTTAAAATGGGCTTTAAGGTGCATTAGTGTGTCTGCATGCGTTTACATGTGCTCCAGACCAGAGAAAATGAGACAAGCAGTATTTCTTTCTGTCTAGACTGCAACGGACTGCGTTGGTGTGAACAGAGCCCAGAAATACCATAGGGATACATTGGGATGCTTTTTTGGTCCGGGAACAAACCGTTCTGCTCTGGACATGGTGTGAACAAACCCTGTATTCGGACAGCGTACCTGACCAATGTTTGCAGCTGATTGGATGAAGATTTCCCAGCATGTACCACGGATCGCATTTCAGACCATTCCTGCTGAATCGCCCAACATTTGCTCCGTGTGTTTGTCTGTTTTTGCAGGGAAGCCATAAAACACTTGAGGCTGGGTTCACACCATTTTCCGGACCAGATCTGGAACATAGTGCATTGCATTTTTGCCTCGATTGGAAATTGTATTTATTTATTTTGCTTAAACTGGTCTTACAGGTGCGTTCCATGCGTTTTTGATGCATTCCAGACCATTTTTCTGGTCTGGTCCGGACTGCGCTGGGGGGGAACAGAGACCAGAAATAGCATAGGGATACATTGGGATGCATTTTTAGTCCGGAAACAGTCTGGTCTGGAGGTAATCTGGATGTGGTGTGAATGGGCCTCGAAAGCTGATCTAACAACCCCCTTTTCCCGGCCAACACCTTATCCAGAAGAGGTTAAATACAAATAAAATAAGACTATTAAGCTAATAGGTAACAAATATTTCTAGTCTCAACGTGGGTGCACTTGCAAAACAGAGTACGAATACGAATACAAGGAGGATGATAACCTCCCAATGTGACAGGTTCTCTATATAGAGACATCAAGGGTCTTTCCTGATGCCTTCTGTTCCCAACGAGGACTGGAGACAAAGAGTCCTCCCAGCATGGGGAAAATGCCACGCGGGGGGGTTCTGATGGAAGCAGCCTTCCCAAGGAGAATGAACTTCATTGCCCTATGCCTAGAATGATATGGGGAATAGCAGCTTCAGGCAGAGCCTAGTTTGACATGCATTTAGCTTTGTGACAGATCTGAAGTCCTCATGTGTACTTAATCACTATTACAGCTCAGGCAAGTGAGTCTCTGAAGGAATACTTTGGAGCGGCGCTATTATCTCTCGGGAAATCGCATGACAGGGCGTAATAATTAACAACAGGTTGGATCCAAACCCGCAGCAAATGAACCAATTAAAGAGGGCGTTCAACCGAACTATCTAAAGGGAATTCATTCAGTGGGCTAAAATGCAAGATCGCCAATGACTGAATGACGTCAGGCAGGACACTGATGTATCTTGACAATTATGTTAGGAAAGGTATTACGGATTACACAAGCACAATGGTTGATAAGTATACAAATGCAGCTCTGTGTTCATTAAAACACGTTAAATGGGTTTTTTTGTAAG